CTTCGTGCCTGTTACACCCTTCTTTAGTCAGCAGGGATACCTTTCTACGTGCACCCCTCTCAGATGGGAAGACAGACACAGGAAGAAAAGGCAAATGATTGCTTCTGAGCTTCTGAGCAGATTTTTGTAAACTCTGCACTGATTCTCCCATCACAAAGACAGGAAAGGAAAGTTCAGGTAGCTGTGGTAGGGCTCAGGGAATGATTGAACACTGATGGGTAACTGATCACGGGTCCAGCACCCATCGCTCCCAGGGACAGGAATGCAGCCAGGATTCCTGAGTCCCTCGGGAAGACAAAAGAAGTGGTCAGGAGTGGGTAGCAGTCCTGAAGGCTTTCAGTCCCCTCCTATCTAACTGGCTGTGTGGCTTTAGGCTATTACTTTTCTGAGCTCAGTTTCCTCATCTAGAACTAAGGGTAATAATCATCATGCCCACTGCACAGGGTCATTGGGAGTGTGGAATGATGTAATAGACATAAACACTTAGAGAAGTGCCTGGAGCATTGTAAGTGAAGGAGTCGCAGAGCACCCCACCTCTGATTTACTGAATCAGAATATTCGATGAATGCACGAGGTCCTGGGTCCAATCCCCAGTACCTCCATTTAAAAAACAAACGAAGAAGAATATCTAGTAAAAGTGTTTTAACCAGCCTTCCAGGTGACTCTTACACACCTTATAGTTCTGAGAAACTTGCCTTTGGGAAAGTGCTGAAGGCAAGGACCAAGCAGGATGAGTTACATCTCAGAGAGAGACCCCTCCTCTATTGCCAGGACAGCATAAGCCCCCATGGAACTTAGAGAAAACACACACACGCACACACACACACGCACACACACACACAGCATAAACCCCTGTAGAACTTAGAGAAAACACACACACACACACACACTTACCTTAAGCTGACTAAAAGAGCCTGCCTTTTAAAGCAGACTTGCTTTAATATGTTTGAATTGAGATGTTTACATTTTTTTCACTGTCAGTGGCAATGATGCCCACGAACTTAAGTTCAGTTTGGTGAAACAAGGAAAGTTTCATTTTGCACCCCCATGTTTGTGACTGTGTCAACATCACTCCTATTACTCCTCTCGAGATGGCCACAGTCCCTCCAAAGGATCTGGTCTTCACATTCACTAAAGAGAATCTGCCGCCACTTTACCAAACTGCGAGCTCCCTGTGGTACCCCAAACACATCCACGCTTCTCTGGGGGAGCTTGGGGGCTCCACAGCAGTAGTTAAGTGGTTGTTATTATTCTTAAGTAATGAGTCATAAGCGCCACCAAAGGCAGTGGGCAATTTGAGGTGGCACACTTAGGGAGTCCAAATAACGAGCGTAAGGGGCGGAAGTGTATCAAGTCTTCTCTCTTTAGGTGGTAGGAACAGATCCCCAAGGGGCTGGGAAGAGTTACCATGGGGGCTGGCCTCCCTCCAGGGGATCGTACAGGGCAGTGAGGTCTCAGGGTGGGGAGATTCTCTAGAGCCCACCCAGCCTCTTCCTGCCCCCAGGGCCCGCTCTCACCACTTGAGTCATCTTGAGGCACAGTTTCTTATGTGCTGCTGTCAGCATGGCCAGGGCCCCTGCGGCTGCATTCTGCACCTTGTCATCATCCTCCCCACAAAGCAGCACCACCAGCTTCAGCCGGTCATTCCCATCAGCCAGGAACCTCTCCTGTACCTAGGGGAGGCAGGCAGATGGCTCAGAGAAAAATGCCCCCACCTGCCCAGCCTGGAGAGGGAAAGATGCATCCTGAGCCACAGTGTCTGACCCAAGATCCCTCGGAGTTTTCCTTTGAGCGGCTCGCCCATGACACCTCCTCCAGGAAGTCTTCTCTGATTAGCTGAAGGGGCTACCAACTCCTCCAGCTAAAAGGTTAAAGAGAATAAGGGATTCCCCACATAGCATCCTCCATCACTTCTTTTTGCATTCAACTCTCCACCCCTCGGGAAAGGGCAGGCCCAGACTCTTGAAGGGGAGATGTTCCTGAGGAGCCGTGTTTCTCTTCTCTTTGGGGAAGCCCAGACTTTTTCTCCCACCACAGATGGGCCTTCAGGGTCTGCCATAAAATGACTCTGCAGTCCCTGAGGCACAGAGGCTTGGCAAGCAAGGGACAGTTGTGTAGTTTATGTGGTACTCAAGAGCTGCTGTACCATTCACCAGGTGAGGAATGCAGCTTCCCAAGAACCTGAAAGCCAGGAGAAGAGCCTCCCAGGGCCCGGGGACCAAATGCGGCCATGAACTAGTTTTCCTCATGGAAGGCAAGTGATAGGGGTTACTTCCAGGCCATCATGGCTGAGTGCTACAGGGGTCTCCCCCGTGCCGTGGTCTGTCTCCCCACTCGCCATCTGAACGCAGACCACTCCCAAGGTGGCAGAGGGGTAGACAGTTCTTTGTGGGGCAGGGCTCTGGTGATACTTACTGATGATCAAAGAAGCCTGGATCCCCAAGTCATTGCTTCGAAGTGAACCTTCCAACCCCAACGTGAGCAAGAAATGATGTGAGTGAGAAATGAGCTTCTGTCCTGTTGGGACCACTGAGCATTTTGATTTGGGTTGTTGTGGCAGCTGGTGCTCCTTTGGGAAGGCGATTCCCCCTCCCATGGCTCACCCCTCCCCTTTCTTTGGACATACTCTCTCCTCCCACTTGGCTGCCGGGCCCCCAGCCCAGCCTCAGGCCAGCTCCCTGGTGACCCGTGGTAGCTTTATTTCTTTTGATTAACAGGCTTTCATGGATCAGGTTTTCCTCCTATAACAGGGAGAAGATCCAAGACTTGAGGGAAGAATTGAGGGTGGGATGGGGGTACAGCTCAGTGGCAAAGCGTGTGCTTAGCATGCACGAGGTCCCGGGTCCAATCCCCAGTACCTCCATTAAAAAAATAGTAATATAGTGATAAAAAATTTTAAAAAGAATTGAGGGCAACAGAGTGGCTCTCAAACTCACCCCTACGTAAGCACCCAGGAGGGCCACTTGGCCTGGTTCTCATGGTAACGAAGGACCTCAGATTTCCACCCTATTGTTACCTCTGATGAGGCTAATACCTACAGACACAGCAGTGTTCCAGCAGGATGGAAAGAAAGACATTCATTCATCGCATGGTGATAATTTATCCCAGTACTGGACCATGAAGCCACTGACACGTTCTGAATTCATTTTGTTTTTACAAATCCTGTAATTATCCTGTGAATTGCATTATCCTAGTGCATTGCAGTTTCTATGGAAACAGTGATCGTTCATTAAATGGTAATGTTTAACATATTCTAAAATTGTTTGTAACTGTTTTTGCCCTGCTTCATTCTTTTATATATGTGGAGCTGCAGCAGTTGCAAGTGGTCCAGCTTCTCTTGATTGTAAGAGGCCCTGCCTATGAGACTATTTAGGAAGTAACTTGGGGAAATGGCACTTTGACCCCATCCAGCCCAAGCTTTGGGGTCAAAGCCCCAGCTGGGGATGATGTTATTTTGTATGTTTTCCTTTGTCTCCTTTGTGCATGTATTCTCCCGGGGGTCCCTACAGGGAGAGGTGCTGTAATCTAGGAAAGACTCAGGGATTCCTGGGTTCTCTGGCAAAGTGCTACCTTAATACCATTGTAACAGCCCCCAGTCTCACGCCAGGCCCTACCTTGTGGCCGAACTCTCCGTGCCTTGATCAGCCCCCATCCCCATCCTCAGCCCCCCTCACCTCCTTGTTCACCACCATGTTACACATGCACTCGGTGGCCGCCTGCCGCAGCTGGTCATGATTCTCAAACATGTAGTTCTCAATGTCTGGCAAGGCCTTCTCCTTAAAGATCTTCTGCCTAGGGTGTGAGGGGTGGAGAAAGAGAGGCCACTGAGTCCTCTGCAGTGAGCATTTGGTGTTTTTGGCCACCCCTGGGCCATCCCACATCCTTAGCCAACATGGTGTAGGTGGCATTAATCCCACCCCCACCTCCAAGAGGGGCACCCAGTGACAGAGCCCAGCATCTTGGCCATAGCAACAGGGTCTGGGATAAACAAGTCACCCTGCTGGAGATTTTTTTGTATCATTGCTGGGGAATGGCTTTCTTTCTCCTGTTGGGTATGAAGCCAAGAAGGTATGAGATCTGGAGCAGCCCTTGTGATTATGAGACAGGGGAGAAGCCCATCTGAGAATTAAGACAATACAGACAGAAGACATGGAGAGAAATAGGACCTGGGACGGCTTTGACACCCCTGTATCAAGCCGCACCTGAATCCGGACTACCCCAGACTTTTTATTTACACGAGTCATTAACTTTCCTTTATGTTTGGAGTTAGAGTAAGTTTTCTCCACTCACAATCAAAAGAATTTCAACCCAATACATTCCATATACTCCATGATCCCCCATTTCCGAGAAGGAATACCTGGTATCCCCACCCATCCACTTGCTCTCTTTTTTTCACTACTTCAGATGAAAGTGTCTTTATAGTTCCTTTGACTTTGTACACTCAATGTGGTTTTCCAAGTGCTAACTCAGATCCCTCTCACAGTCATTTCTACCCCCTGCCTTTGATCCTGTCCCCCAAGGAAAGCACACACAGTACACATGACATGTTCAATTTCAGGACGCCTCTCTTCACCCCTGCCCCCTCCACATCCCACTCACCGGAGTTTGTCACTCCGCCCAGACAGGTTGGTGAGGCCCAGGAGAGCCTCGTAGTTCTGGAGCCCGTCCCTCTCTGTGTCCAGGAGTCTCACAAGGGGTCGCACCACCTCATACACCTATGGGGGAGAGGGTCAAGGTGTGGTCGGATGGATACCGTGTTCCCCCAGTCCTTTATAGTTGCCCAGCTCTAGAATTTCCAAAGCACCTGCCTGCCCACTGTGTGATTCAGCCTTCGCAGTGCTCCTGAGAGGCAGGATTAGTTCCTTTACTTTGCAGACGAGAGAACTGAGCTTCCAAGAGGATAGCCTTTTTAGTTCAGGCAGAGCCAGACCTGGAATCCACCCACCTCCAATTCATTGGCCTCTTCGTGAGGGCACCATGCCCCCGCTCCCAGGCCAGGGGTAGGGTGACAAGGGGAAAGGTCCTTGGGAGCAGAGGAGACTCCTCCCATCACCCTCTCTGACCCCCCCAGTCGCTCACCCGCTCCCCAGGGAAGGCGATGTCCGGATTGGAGACCGCGGCGATCTTTGCTAGGGCGTGGGCTGCCTTCACTTTGCCCACGTCTGTGCCCTCCAAAGCCAGAGGAATCAGAGCCTGCAAGAAAGGGCACAGTCACTCCTCGGTCACAGACATGCAGAGGCCTCTATCCGCGCCCTCCCTCTCCAGCTGCTGTCTGTTCCACCCGAAGTTCAGGAAGACTCAGCAAGGTAGTCAGTTCTTGAGCATCACAGAAAACACTGAAATTCTTAATCACAGATTCACTCCCCCAGTTCCCAGCACACGTGGAGGTCTTCACTCACACTCTCCCCTACCCATCCGTACGTTTGTTTGGCTTTTGGAAAAATAAACAGATCGATACGCTGATGGTTTGCTTTCTGCCTAAGTCAAACCTAATCAAAACAGCAGTCATTTATTGAATGCCTACCGTGAGCCAACACTTTAAGTGAATTTTCTCTAATCCTTGTGACATTCTGCAAAGTGAGTGTGTGATTTTTTTTTTTTGCCACAAACATTTGGTTTTATTTTATTTATTTATTTATTTGTTTATCTGAAGTACAGTCAGTTACAGTGTGTCAATTTCTGGTGCACAGCACAATGTCGCAGTCATGCATATACATACATATATTCGTTTTCATTTTCTTTTTCATCAAAGGTTGTTTCAAGATATTGAATATAGTTCCCTGTGCTATGCAGAAGAAATTTGGTTTTTTATCTATTTTTATATATAGTGGTTAACATTTGCAAATCTCAAACTCTCAAATTTATCCTTTCCCACCTCCTTTCCCCTGGTAACCATAAGATTGTTTACTATGTCTGCGAGTCTGTTTTGTAGATGGGTTCATTAGTGTCCTCTTTTTTCTTTTTTCTTTTTTAGATTCCACATATGCGTGACATCATATGGTACTTTTCTTTCTCTTTCTGGCTTACTTCACTTAGAATGACGATCTCCAGGTGCATCCATGTTGCTGCAAGTGGCA